TAGTTTAAAAAACACATACGGTCTTACAACAATGCTTTAAGCTTCACGTCAATGGGTGTCAATTTGGACGAATCTGTTCAGAACTCTCGCGGCGGGGCCTATGCTTTCCGAATTCATGGCAGCATTTATCATCGAATTGGATCGTTGCTCCCATCCAACAATGTCGCACCATCATTTGCTCAAATTTATGTCTTCGATGCTGAACATGAGATTGAAAATAGACACCACGTTGCAAGCCATGTCGACATCAACACGTTAGGAGACTTACAAACTTTAATGCATGATATCAATCCTATAGTCAGAGACTTTAAGACGATGAACCAATGTTTGATTGAGAATCCAGATCACGTTGCAGATGTGGCAATGGTATTCCAGGCCGAAGGATTACCAGATCCAGGAAGATATAATTCACCAACTAATTCGACTGAAGTTGGGATATTAATTTTGGGAAGTGACAATAGACAGGAGGGAGATGAGATAAGGGTTAGGGATATTATTATTAGACCCCAAAATCAGGGACAACTTAAGAGTATCAACGAGTTAAACCAGATCTACGATTCTATGTCTTACGCCTTAATCTTCCCAACGGGTCAATCGGGATGGCATAAATCATGCGTATCTGAAAGCGGTTTAAAAGTCACCACCATGCAATTTTATAGTTTTTATCTTATGTTTAGAAGCTGTGGACATGATCTCCACCTTTATGGAAAACTTTTCCATCAGTTTATTGTGGATATGTACGCTAAGATTGAGCAATTTCGTTTAAATTTTATTAGACATAACCAGTCAAGTCTTCGAACTGAACTCTACCATGGATTACAAGATGCGGTCGCACACGATGACAATGATACGAGCTCTCTTGGTCGTAAAATTATTCTTCCAAGCTCCTTCATTGGTGGCCCACGACATATGTCCCAGTTGTATCAAGATGCCATTAGCATTGTTAGACGATTTGGAAAACCCGACTTTTTTATCACGTTTACGTGTAATCCTACGTGGCCTGAAATCCAAAACGAATTGTTGTATGCGCAAACCGCAGCAGACAGACCAGATCTTTGTGCAAGAGTTTTTCGACTGAAGTATAAAAGCCTTTTAAAAGACATTACCAAAGGCCATGTTCTTGGTGTCGTCGTTGGATACGTTGCAGTGATCGAATTTCAAAAAAGAGGTTTACTTCATGCTCATATGTTGTTTATTGTAAAACCTGAAGACAGACCTAGAACAACCAGTGATTTTGACAAGATTATTTCAGCTGAGATTCCAAATGAAGAACAACATCCCTTAGCCTATCATACGGTCACAAAAAACATGATGCATGGCCCATGTGGCTCATTAAATCCCAGTGCCATTTGCATGAAAGATGGAAAGTGCTCAAAGGGTTACCCCAAAAAGTTTACTGCTACTACAACAACAGCTGAATCTGGCTATCCAATTTACAGAAGAAGACGAGATGGTAGAAGTGTTACAAAAGCAAATGGAATTGCATTGGATAATATTTGGGTTGTACCTCACAACATTTATCTCTGTACGAAGTATGATGCCCATATAAATGTCGAAATATGCAACACTGTTTCAGCCGTAAAGTATCTTTATAAATATGTATATAAAGGTCACGATAGAGCAAGTGTTCAAGTAAGTAGTGATGGACAGCAAAATAATTTGATATGTCAGGACGAAATCAATCGATTCATAGACGCAAGATATGTTTCTGCACCCGAAGCCATATGGAGAATATTTGGTTTTTCATTGCATAAAGAATTCCCAGCTCATCAGAGATTAAGCATTCACCTTCCTGGGCAAGAAATGGTGTATTTTTCGGAAGATGCTAATCTTGGTGATGTTCTTGCAAATGCAGCAAGCAAAGACACAACTTTGACAGCTTGGTTCAACATAAATAGGACTGATCCAGATGCAAATCAATACTTATATCATGAATTTCCGGAGTATTATACATGGCTCAAAAGTGAAACTGTGTGGAGAAAAAGACAAAGGGGTTTTAATCAAATTATAGGCCGTATCTATTCTGTTTCACCAAAAGAATCCGAAAAATATTTTTTGCGACTTTTGTTGAACTACGTTCGTGGAGCCAAAAGTTTTGAAGACGTAAGAACCGTCGACGGTGTGGTACATGAGACCTTTCAAGCTGCTGCCCGTGCAAAAGGTCTGCTTGCTGACGATGAACAATGGGACATATGTTTGTGTGAAAGTGCTACATTCCAATCGCCTATCATGTTGCGAAAATTGTTTGTCACAATTTTAATTTTTTATTAGCCATCCAGCCCGTTTCAATTATGGAACACGCATAAGGATGGTCTGTCTGACGACTATTTATTGGCTCAAAGAAGGCTTCTTACTGACGTAACTTCTGCTTTGACGGATGCTATGAAAGAAGAGGCATATGGCAACTGCCTTTTAGATTTGAATGAAATGCTTGATTTAAATAACATCAAGATCAATGACTTTGCCGGCTTTTGTCTACCCTCCGTTGATACACGAAACGGCAACAGTGGTCGAGGGTTTAGAGGTATGAGCCGTCTTGAGCGCGAACAACGAGAGTTATGCTTGGAAGCTGAACGCTCAATGATTGACCCAGCTGAACTTCCTTTCAACAGTGATCAGCGTGCAGTTTTTGAAACTGTTATGAATTTGGTCGAGAGTGAAAAAACCTACGGAAACTCGCGCTTTCACTTTAAAGATAACCTTTGTTTTCTGGAGGGCCCTGGCGGAACCGGCAAGACGTTCATTTTTAATGCATTGTTACAGGCTGTTAGGAGAAAAAACTGTATTGCTCTGTCAGTAGCTGTAAGTGGAACTGCTTCTCTTTTATTGAAAGGTGGTCGTACAGCTCATTCAAGATTCGGTATCCCCTTACATTGTAATCAAGCGTCAATGTGTTTTTTAAAGCCGAGGAGTAACAACGCGGCATTAATAACATCATCAACAATTATAGTTTGGGATGAAGCTTCAATGATTAGTCGTGATGTTCTGGAAACTGTTGATCGAAGTTTCCGAGATATTATGAAGTATCATGATTCACGTCTTGGTAGAGTACCCTTTGGGGGGAAATTAATTGTTTTTGGTGGTAACTTTCGTCAGGTTTTACCTGTTGTTCCCAAAGGTACTAAAGATGATATTATTCAAGCTTGCATGATTACTTCTCATCTTTGGAGACATATAAAGCAATTACGATTAGGGGTATTCAATATTGAAAATAAAAAAAATTAAATAAAAAAATAAAAAAGAACCAATAGAATGTCCCAGATTTTTTAATTTTTTATTTAATTTAAGAGGTTCGTTTTTGCATCCGATTATATTAAAATCACCTCATGCAGGATAAATGCAAAAGTTTTCGACGAATTTTGGTGCAACGGTAATATGTATACAACACGTTCTTCTGTCTTACTTTTGCTCTTTATCTTTACTCTTTATCTTTTTTCTTTACCTTTTAAAAATGCCCAGATATTCATTAAAAGCCAAATATGAAAAATATTTGGAAGGGGTAGCAATTACTTCAGAAAGAAAAATCAAATCATTACAAGAACTTTTTGAAACATTGTCCACTGCAAAAGAGGAAGAGGACGACTGTGATAGTGAAGTCGAATTTTATGCTGATGTTGCCACGTATTTAAAGTCCAAACTATCTAATGGTGTCGAAGCTAGACTCAAATACAACAAGACACAAAAACAAAGATACTTGTTCAAAAGACAACATAACAGACCCAAGCTTGTTACAGGAAAGAGACGATTGCAGTTTTTGGAGGAGTTAAATGATAACGAATTCAAAGAAGAATTAAGAATGAGTAAAGTATCTTTCCAAAAATTGATTGACATGATCAAAACGCATCCTTTATACAAACGTAAGGACGGAAGAAATCAAACCGATATCAAGTTACAAGTAGCTGTTGTCTTGGAGAGACTTGGAAGCAATGGTAATGGTGCAGGACAAAGTCGTTTGGCTAGACGATGTGGTGTTGGAGGTAATAAATTTAGTTTAATATTTTATAAATGTCACTAACCTTAAACCAAACTTTTATAGTTGGAAGTATCAAAAACTTCACTGCCCGTTTCTTCGAGGTCATGATGTCCTTTGAAAAGCAATTTATATACTGGCCCAATGAAATTGAAAAGAAAGAGATTAAAAATGCAAATGAAAAGCGCTTTGGGTTTCCGGACTTACTTGGATTTATTGATGGTTCGACAATTGATCTTGCATGTGCACCATCCTGGCGTAGAAAGGATGAGTATTATGGGAGGAAATCAACCTATTGCATGAATACAGTTGCAATCTGTGACCACAATCGAAAGATTCGCTACTTTGGTTGTGGGTGGTTTGGAAACTCGCACGACATGAAAGTGTTGAAGCAAAGCCATCTCTTTAAAAACATAGATGACTTTTTCAAAAAAGATGAGTACGTTCTTGGGGATGGTGGGTACAAAGCCTACAAATTTTTGGTACCTATTCATAAGAAACCTCGTGGTGAGCACATGCCAGCAGACGATGAAAAGTTCAATAAGTACATTGCAATGATGCGTATCAAGATCGAGCATGCTTTTGGGATTTTGAAAGAACGATTTTATTCGTTAAAATCACTTCCCATTCGAATCAATGACCGAGCTGATAATCAGTTCGTAAACGTATGGATTAATGTCTGTATCATCTTGAACAACTTTCTTCTTGAACAAACAGATGACGAAGATATTATTTTTACGAAGCAATTATGGGACAAAAAAGAAGAGGAAGCGTTAGCCATGTTGAGTCAAAAATCAAAAAAGGTGTTCAAAGGTCGTAAGGAACAACAGGAAGAAGATAATGTTGAGGAAGACAGTTCCGAAGAAGATAGTGAAGAGGAAGAAGATGCAAGGGCTAAAGAAGATCTGCATATCGGCAAAGAAAAGTATCAAAAGATCAAAGAAATTGTTCTTAAGTTTAACAACAAATCTCACCTTCTTTCTAATAACAATTAATAAAAACATCTTATATGTAATATACATGGTTTATTTTAATAAAAGTTATATTCCAAGTTGAGGTTATCCAACATGGTCTCACCCTCTTCCTTGCTCAATTTGAAAGTATTGATCCTCGTGATGGCATTTTGATACCTGCCCATGTACTCTGCGAATCTCATCTTTTTGGCCGCAGCTTCTCGTTGAACCTCAACGAAACCCGAAACATCTAACTCCTTTGTTTCGAGCGGGAAATCCTCTTCAAACTTCAAAGCCCTCTTTCTTTTTCCACTGGCCTTGGGAACTTTGAGTTTTGTAGCCTTAGAAGAGGGCGAAGGAGAATTGGCTGAATCTTCGTCGGTCAACAGATCAACATGCTGTTCAGAGTTTTCATCCTCTGAATTAATCTCCTCTGGCTTTTTCCAGCTGAAAGGTTTACTTCCAGGCACACCCGTTTCCATGGGCAAAGCAGGATCTGTTCGTCTTGACCCCATGACAGATCTCAAAAGATGGAAGTGGGCACAGACTTTATTCAAAGCAACTTGAATTTATTTTAGAATACATCACACTATTATTACAAATAAATATAATACAATACCTTCAAAAGGTGGATTTTCTTCGGTGGCACCTTCTCCACTTTGTTTCCACATCCTGTAAGCCTCGCTATACTGCGTCAAGAGAAGCTTATTCATTCGGTCTAATATTTGAGCCTTTGTACGTTTGGAAGCACCAACCGAGTCAAAGTATTCCTTGGCTTTGCCGGCAACCGTGTCTCTTTTATCTCCAGAAACCGATTCTGCATTGTTATCACATCCAAGGAAGGCAAACAACATGGTGGCACCATCTTCTGTCAAAAAGTGCACCAGTCTTCCAATGGATGTCATACCATCTCTACCGCCATCTTTCAATTTCCAAGCCTTTCTGGTCTGTTTTTTTGTCGTGACCGCAACAGATTCGGATGGATCGATGCTAGCAGGTTCTGTGGTAATAGTTCTAGTCATTTTTGAAGATTGTAAAATTGATATAAAGAGGAATGAAATGTGAAATCGTTTGTGGCTGTATTTTTATTTAATTTAATTTTATCAATTTCCTTAAATGGGGGATTCAATAACAAATCGACCTCATTGGACCATTTTTTTATTTTTTTATTTAATTTTATTTTATTTTCAATATTGAATACCCCTATTATCTTTAAACATGCGCGTACAACAAGCTCAATTGGTGCATAGTTTTGAATCAGCTCAAGAGCTTCAGGAATTTTCTTCTTTTCTTTTAAGTATTGGTAAAGGTGTTTACCCTGTCCACCCAAACACAAGCAATATAATTCAGATACCAGACCAAATGGTTCTTCCCGAAAGCAGCATGGACCACCTCTGTTCCCATGTATATAACAATTTTGAAAACGCCGGTGATGTTACATCTTCATCTTTGATGTCAAGGGCTATATTGACTCCAACCAATGCGTTTGTATCGGTCGTCAATGATCCTGTTTTGGAAAAGTTTCCAGGAGAATACACCATTTTTCTCAGTACTGATACAGCTCTTTCGGATAATGATGCGTTGATATTGCCACCAGAGTTTATGGACTCTTTAGAATGTGGCAGTCTTCCACCTCATGAGTTAAAATTAAAAATAGGCTCTCCAATAATGATGCTTCGGAACTTAGCACCTGCACAAGGTGTGTGTAACGGTACTCGGCTTATCTGCAAAGCTTTTCTTCAGCATGCAATTCAGGCTGAAGTAGCCACTGGACCATACGAAGGTAACACTGTACTTATTCCACGCATCACTTTGTGCTCCACTGTAGAACAAGTTGGTGTTGAATTTAAGAGATGTCAATTCCCAATTCGACCAGCATTTGCAATGACAATCAACAAATCACAAGGCCAGACATTAGATTCCGTTGGTCTATATCTTCCAACACCTGTTTTCTCTCATGGACAGCTGTATGTAGCATTATCGCGAGTCAAAAAACCCAGTGACATAAGAATTTCAATTCCTAAAGAAATATCAACTATTGAAGGTGTAGAAGGATCATACACATCAAATGTTGTTTACACTGAAATATTTCGAAATTAATATTCTTTATTCTATCACATCCACATATTCTATTATTAAAATAAATTTTTATTCGCTATTCATTTTTAACAGGCCTGCGGCAGCACGAGGTTTTTTCAAAGCGCAGCGTACCAAACCATAGTGAAGGTCAAAAATTTACCGCAGCGCAGCGAAGGTCAAAATTTTTACCGAAACGGAGGTTTGGTTTGAAAAAACCTCGTTCTTCTTATAAAGCTTGTTTGCCTTAAATTAACTATACTCATAAGGTTAATCATTATCCTGCTGGTTCTTTAGCTGATTTGTAAGTTGGTCGTATCTTTCTCTGTAATGCGTAGACAAGTTTTATTATAATTAAATTCTTTTTAACAATTGATCTAATGACAGTGCTTGTAAAAGAAAAAAATTTAAAAAGAGGAAAGGAAGGAAAAATAAAAATAAATATAAATAAAAAATTATATGCCGATGGTTGCGTGTTTTATCCACCATGTTGCGTCTTTCCGCAACATGTCGTGGAATTACGCAACATGTTGCGGGTTTCCGATACCGAGTCCGCGGCTGTGTTAAGGTTGACATGGAATGCCGCTTCATCAATGAAAACGCAGTTACTCTGGTAGTCTAGATCTGTTTTTGACCAATTTATAACCCATTCATATCTCTGCTGAATCTTTTCGGGAGAGTTTCTTTCGGTGGGGTAGAAATAGGCTTTTTTGAAGGACAGTGCACATTCATTTACCATAAAATCGCGGACAGTTTTTTGGCTAACTTTCAGGCCCTCAAAGTGAGTAGTCAAGCTATCCATAGCTTGATCTATAGTTGTCGAGGCATTTTCGCCGAATGTCTCCTCAAGATGTTTTTTATGATCCGCGTTCAATAGTTTTTTTCTACCTCGATTCTCTTTCAAATGATCATTGTGATCGGCTTTTCCCTCTAACCGATCAATGAGTATACTTTGGTCTTGCTGGAGCCAATTGTAGCCAGTTCTACGAGGAATAATCATTAAGCTTTCCGCTTTTCCAGCAGTCAGGCCCTTCTCATAAACGTAGAAAAAGAACATATCCTTGGTATCATTTCCACGGTGTATGTTCTTAATATCTTGTTTACTAGCACTGGAAACTGTCATGAACCACGTACTTTGCACTTTGCCCCTGACCACGAATCCCCGACTATTGGAATGTTCTGGAATCCCATGCTGAGATTCAACAACCCCAGTGTCCAGAACCTTCCAGGACCTTCCAAGACTATCCACGCAATGAACCTCCGCTTCCAAGAGATTAGTAATCATGACTCGTTTCCAAGTATCTCCGACGCCAAGCAATTAGTAATCATGATTCATGGGTTTCGGCCACGTAAGCTGAAACCAACACTAAGACTCATTAAGTAAGCCAAGACATTCTTAAATGCAAACCCATGTTATCCAAAAAGATATAACTACTCCCCCTTTCCATTGCCTTCCCCGTTCCATGTCGATTATCTTGTATCCTTCCCCTTCCCTGTATAATCTATTATTATTATTAAATACTTTATAAACCACTCTTCCTTTGTCTTGTATAACTAGTAGGTATCTTCTGATATTATTGCTATAATATATTCCTAGCCACGTTCCTGACAGAAACTGTAGTTTTCTTGACAGCTTTGGGGTTTACTTTTTTTTTCAGCTGGCTTCAGGTCTATATGTGAATCATAATTCGTTATATCGTCCAGAGAATATGCTTCCTCGTCTATTTCCATTCGCACAGGTTCTAAACCATCCTCATCCATGGCGTTTCCTTTCCCATCCTCGAAATAAACTTTAAACGACATGTTTTTAAATAATAGTATTTTTATAAATGAAAGAAGTGTGCCAAAAAAATTACAATAATGTGCCATCATTAATTTCTTTTTGTGTCAGCTAGATTTGGATTAGTGTGCCATACGTAACTTTCAAGTGTGCCATTTTTTTTTGGGGTGTGTGCGAATTATTTCCACAAAAGGTGTATTCAGCTTTGACCTTTTCCGATTCATATGATTATTCTTGAGTGGTACAAATCGTCTTTTCTGGTTCTTGGTCTTCTTGAGCCTAAGCTCGATTTCTAAAGGCATGTCTACGTCAAGGTCCGGACTTCGGGTCGGACTAACCCGGCTAGTCACGTGATTCTTTGAGGCATCAGATCCATTGACATTTACAGGCTTGACAAGACTGATAAGGATCTGACTGTCTTTATGTTTACCTTGTGTAGAGTACGAGAATAAACAATATATAAAATGATGGTTCAAGGAGACTGTAAAGACTTGATATCAGATTATACAAACAGAGAGAAGAGATTAAAATGCACTAGTAAGCAATGGAAAGCTGCCAAAGAAGTTATGTATCAAAAATAATAGAATATAAAAATATAAACTAGGAAAAAGATAACGTTTATTCACTGTCAATAAGATAAGCTTTTATAGCTGTCAAAAAAATATTCACAAAAATATAAATACAAGATCAGATCGACCATTGTCAAATAAATAAATCATAAGTTAAAAATACGGATAAAATAAATGAAAGTATAAAAATAAAATAAGGAATGAAAATAAATCAGATGTCAAAAATTCAAATAATAACATCCAAGAAATATTCAATACGACAATAACTCCTCTTCTAACTGCGACGACTAACAAAAACCGATTCTCTGGATTTATCAGAAATAGAAGATGGATTTCTCAAATTTGACGTGACTTCTAGAAAATTCATTCGGACTTTCAACACCAGATCTTCCAAGCGCAACAACGACAAGAAAAACAATTTATTCCTTAGACACACTGAACTTCTTCCTCGCTCATTTCGACATTAACTTTCATAACCCCTTCCAAAATCTTCAATAACCTTTCTCCTACTTCTTTACAATATATACTGTAAACCAAACACGTGAAAGTCACGTGCTTTTAAGACTTCAAGCGAAACACAAGACCAAAATACGACCGTATCAAGTACCCCCCGCCGAGCTTGAAGTCCCACCTTTCAAAATGAAAGGTCAACAAAGCCAAAAGTATTAACACGAGAGTTCAACCACGACTGCAATTGTTCATTTGCCTTTGACACACCGACCTGTGGCACCATATGCTGAACCTCCTTGTTATACGCCTTTAATAAGTCGCCATTCACTGCATGCTTCAACCTTAGACTATTCTTCCCAGTCAACCAGTAAGTACCATTTTGATTCACCTTCATAACAGTATACGGTCCTAACCACTTATCAGAAAACTTAGTCGTTGGGACTACATCCTTCAACAAAACTTGATCACCAATATCAAACTTTTTACGAAAAACGACACGCCCATCATAACGCTCCTTAGCCTTCTTCTTTCGCTCATCTGACCTTAACCGCGCAATTTCACGAACTTGAGCCAATTTTTCTTCAACCAGAATAATTCTTTCACGCAATTCTCTTCTTCTTCGCCAATGACAAAATCAATGCGTGGAGCCACCCAAACAGCAGGAGTTCTCATTTCATACCCAAACAACATATAACTGGGAGTATAGCCAGTAGCAGAGTTCTTGGAAGTACGAATCACCATTAACGCCATGTCTACATACTTATCCCACTCAGCCGTATTTTCTCGATCTCTAGCAATCTTCGCTAACACCGAAACCAGAGTATAGTTCAAACGTTCACACATACCATTACATTGAGGTCTATAGCTCGTCGTCATTATATTCCTACACCCAAGCTGTTTCAAAAATTCATGAAGGTAAGTAGATATGAAATTTTGACCTCTGTCAGAAAGAATCCAACGTGGAACACCCCAATCCTTAACAATACTAAATAGAAATTCCCCCGTTGTTACTTCATTTATATCGGGTACAGCAACTGCAACAGGCCACCTCGTCAAGTAGTCAATACCAGTCAAAATATACTTGTTTCCACGCGTAGTAGATTGAAGAGGACCAATAGCATCGATACCAACCAAAACAAACGGATCCTTAGTAGTTTTGAATATGACACCCGGATTTGTACGAACATTCTTGATACGAGCACGAAATTGACAAGTATCACACGATTTAACCACAGACTCGACTAACTTACGACCATCATGCACCAAAAAATTCTTTACCACCTTATCCAACGTATTTGAGATCCCCAAATGACCTTCTTGATGTATGTCAGTTATTTTCTGTAAGGCGTTACCTTCATGTAACAACTCTCTTCCAGTTTTCTTTTCAATCAATACACCATCATCACCGATCATCAACAAATTTGCACGATAACGGATTCTTCGAGAAATATCCTTGGTAGCATCTTGCGGGTAGGACCCATCAGTCAGAAAATACAATAAAGCCAAATACCACGGTAAAGAGATTAACCCCATCACGACGAATACAGAAATACAATTAAACAACACCAATTTAAAGGGAGCTTTAATCCAGACTAGAAAATGAGAATATCTAGACAACTTGAGGGATGGATAATTTAAGGGAAAGGATCCAAAGTAAGAAGGCAAAGCGAATATAATATTTTAAAGAGAAGAATAAAGATAAATTTTATTTTAAATAAAAATGAGAACTATTTATACAATCTTAAATTATAAGATTCATTTCCAATTTTGATCGTGCCATTATTTTTTCTGTCAAAAAATAATCAGACCACACAATGTTTTGACACATTATACTATCTTAATAATATCATCAAGATTACCAATCTCGAGATCCACAATTTTTCTTGACAAAGGATCTGCCGGATTTTGCTTCCCAGGACGATACCGGATCTCAAAATCATAATCCATCAAACACGCCGCCCATCTTGATAACTTGGGAGTACCCTTCGGATTAGCAAACACGTAGATCAGGGAGCTATGATCTGTAATCAGGATAAACTTCTTGCCCTTTAGCCAATGCTTGAAATATTTAACACCACAAACAACACTCAACGCTTCCAAATGGTGAATCGAGAACCTTGTTTCACTTCCGTGAAGACCACGAGAACCATACGATAAAACTTGCTCATTTCCCAGAGTTTCCCAGTCATCTACTTGACTCGCAATGAAAGAAATTCCCTTATTTGACGCATCACAAGAGACACATTGTACTGCCGTACGGAGAGGTGAGGATAGAATAGGAGCCGTAGCCAGAGCGTTCTTTAACTGATCAAAGGAGGATTGTTGTTCTGGACCCCATTCGAACACACAATTTTTCTTGGTCAATCGGCTCAACGGTTCAGCAATTTCACCATATCGATGGACATACTTACGATAATATCCACTCAAACCAAGAAAACTTCTAATATCCGTAGCATTTTGAGGTTCAGGAAAATTTTTGATTTTGATTACGTTCCTTTCACCAGGACAATTTCCACTAGCACCAAGAACATGACCCAGATATTCGACCTTATCTTCGCCAAAATGACATTTCTTCCTTTTTAATTTCAGATTCGCCTTAGAACACGCCTCGAACAACAACTCCAGATGTTTCTTATGATCTTCCAAATTTTTTGAGTAGACCAAAATGTCATCCAAAAACACCGAACAGAAAACACCAATATATTCACGAAATATACTTGACATCACACGTTGAAATTGGCAACAACCATTCGTCAAACCTTGAGCGAGCCTCTTGTACTGAAAAGCACCTTTACTAGTAACAAAACCAGTCACCTCAGCGCCATCCTTGTCAAGCTCCAATTGATGATAACCACTGGTACAATCGAACGTAGAAAATACCTTTGCATCACCTACAGTTTCTATAAGTTCATTTACAGTAGCCGTAGGAAAGTTTTCCTTAATGATCATTTTATTTGCAGCTCGAAAATCTACAACAGGTCTCTTCACACCAGTTTCCTTTTTGTTCACCAGAAACAAACAACTTGACCACTCACCGTTTGACGGCTCAACAATACCAAGATCTAGCATTTCCTGCACATGAGCATCCACCAATTCTTGATCAGACCAACCCAAACGAAAAGGACGATGGCGAACCGGAACCGCTTTTTCAACAAGCCGTATCTTCGCCGAATAACCCTTGATGCATGTAAGTCCAGAAACTTCAGAAAAGCAATGTTTATATTTTTCAACAACACCTTTCAACGGCTCAATGACATTTGTAGAAATGTTGTTTGCATTGTACTCAAAATTTGCATTCTTGTCATAACCCAAGTCACCTTCTTCAGCATCAGGGATCAAATCATCCTCCAACGTGTTACAATATTTTTGACTTGACGCCACAGAAAAGATCTCTTGTTCTTCCTTGGACCTCTCAACACCACGAATAATTCTCGAAGTACGACCTTGAACACGCACAATACCCTTGGAAGTAGGAACCTTAATCTGCGAATTTTGGATATCCAAAGAAATACCATAGGCTTGGAACCAAGGAATTCCCAAAAGACAAATATCACTATCGGTATTCATTTGAACCGCCATATGCTCAGGACGAATCTTGCCCCCAATACAGATAGGTACGTTTATAACCACATTTGACATGGAAGGAGTATTATTATTGTTGAAACCGACCAAATGCAAGTTATCACCATTAGGTACCAAACCCAAAGAATTACAAATGTTAGATCCTAAAATGGAAACCGAAGCACCCGTGTCAAAAACAGCTTCTAGCGATTTACCATTTATTTCGATAAAACCTCTCAAAGGCGAAGTAGACTTCATACGTTGCAGATCATAAGGATAACCATATACGGACTCTAACTCACTGAACTCCAAATCAGACACTTCACCAGAAAAAGAAGACGAATCATAATCAGACCCTTCCTCCAAATCAGAACCGGACAAATTACTTTCAGAGTCGACTTCATTTACAAACACCGTATTATCCACAGCTTCGCCAACGTTCG